CGACCTGTCCGACAGGCCACTGCGTGCACGGTGCACCGAGCTTTGGCCTGCTGCTCCTTCGGCAGCACATCCAGGCTCGGCATTCGGTATGGGCCGTGCGCTTCATCATAGCTGCCCTCAGGCTATCTAACGCGCCATGTGGGTCAGGGAGGGGGTGGAGCTGCAGGAACCGCGGGCGGTACCGGGGGGACGGGAGGGCAGAAGGTGGTCTCCATCCCTGGGTCCGGACGCTCTCTGCCTATATGCTGCTCACCGACCCCGCCTTCCAACCGTGGGCCTTGACGACCGCCAGCCAAGCCGGGCCCCGACTCGGCGGAAGCGATCTACCCACGGATATCAGCCGGATTGTGGGCGCCCTGGGACACCTACCACCGCTCCGGGATACCGAGACCACCCCCCTGGGCAACCGCGTTGTGGGGTAACCCGTTGCTCCCCAATACCGGCGAGGCAGACCCAGACAGCTTGAACCGCCGCCCGGGCCTGGGGCGTAGGGGGAAGTAGGGGCTGCGCTACCGTACGTCCCGACACTGCGCCACAGCAACGGTAGCCGCCATGGTAATTGAGGGTGAAAAAGGGGGATGGCGCGGCTGACAACGCCCAGGCGCTGGAATGGGTCATGGCTGCGTGGGAGGCTTTGCCCTTCACGCCCCTCTCCTCCCCCCAGAAGGAGGAGAGTGCTTCGGCGGTCGTTCCCGTTGGGGTATACAGTTAGGTGGACGTGGCCACTGCCACCAGGCCCGGATCGGTATGTAACAAACACAAGCACACACACCGCTTCACGTCATTGAGCAATGCCCGACACCGACAAGGCGAGGAACGTGACTGCTGCTGTGACAGTGAGAGTTATGGCTTTCCCCGCTGCTGTAGCTGTGATGCCCCGCTGTTCCATGAAATAGAAGGGGTCCCAGGAGTTAGCCCGCGCGTGACGCCGCAGGGCAGGGCGGCCCCGCAAGGGCAGGCTGGGTCCCAGACCGGGGAGGGGACGGGTTGCTGAACCGACGCCAGCCCGGGGGTGAAGGCGTTTGGAGACCGGGCGATGGGGCTGCTGCTGGCGCGTATGTGTATGTGCTGTCAAGGGTGAGCTTGAAGCAGGGTGCTGGGGCGCGTGGGCCAGTGCCCTACCCTAACCCCGCTTGTAACCACCCGCACGGCTTTCCCCCAACAGGGAGAGGGCGTAGGGCGGAGAGGGCGTCTTTTGATGAAGGGAGACGAGTGCGGGAGGGGGAATACTCACGACTCTTGGCCCTGATGCTGTTAATGTTGTCCATTCACTACCCGCTGTGCTAGTCGACGAGAGCGGGGTTCAGTGAAGCTGAGGCACATACGTACAGAAGTACATCAAAACACACACGCTGTCCTGCCTGCCACCTCAGACTTAAATTCGCGGCTCAGTTACATACTTAAGAGAACACACCCTACACGCACGCGCCATAGCGCTGGTCGGCATGTTACCATCATCATGGCTTCCTCTCGCCACCTTACCACCACCGTCGCAACTTATCACATGTTCCATCTTTACGGCTCAGTTCAACACATACACACACACACAAACAATCTTAAGAAACAGCTCAAACACCACCTCTCCAACCCCACCATTGCACTTCCCCAAATCTACCCAACACACAACAATGATATCGCCAACGGACCTCCACATTCCGCTCTTTCTAGAAAGTACCACAGAGTCTGCTCCTCCCTATCCTAGCATCTAAAGTCCCGCCCCCATCCGCGTTGGACCTGTTTCCTGAATGTAGCTTAGTACTGGTTCGGTGGTCTTGTATGTACTTCACACTAACAATAACCTCCGCCCCCGCCTCCCTGAACACCGTCCACCGCCCTCCGGCCCCACCAAACCCCCACACCACCTTGGCCCATCGGCTAATGTTCCTCCCCTCCCCACAATGCCCCCCCACTCAACTAATGAATAAATCAAACACTCTCCTATGCACCCCCTGCTGCTATCCCATCCACCAGAGCCCCAATCCTGTACCACCACCACCACCACCACCACCAATTCCAAAGCCTAAAGTGGTGTCACCATCCCCTCCCGACCCGCCGCATGCCCCCTCCCCAGCTCTTTTTTTTAAGTTTTCTTCTCTCTTTAATTCTCTCTCCCTCTCCACACCTTTTTCCCACGTCACGCCGCTCGCGGCCCGCTGCCCGCCAGCCGTCCCGCCAGGTACCACTGCGTCGGCAGGAACACGAACTGCACTGTGCTCACCACAATCACCCCCAACCCGATGAACACAGTGGCCACGATGGTCCCAGCGAAGGAGGTGATGCCCAGCAGCTCCCCCAGCCAGGGGGCCAGCAGGAGGGACACGACGAGGAAGGCGGCAGAGGCGGCGGTCTCCAGAAGCGGCAGGGGAGGAGCGCTGTGGAGCTGCATGTATGTATGTATGTATGTTGCGGGGGGTCGAAGGGAGGGGGAAAGTGAGGAGGGATGGGGGGAAAAGATGGGGGGAAAAGATGGGGGGAAAAGACGAACCACGAGCGAGTGAAGCTGCTGTCAAGGAAAGAGAAGCAGAACTGGATGGGGGGAGAGAACTGGTCGATATGTCCAGGCGTGTTTGGTGTGTTGTGTATGTGCCTGACAGAGGGATTGTGAGGGGCTGGGCGGGGTTCGGTTATGTGAAGGGGGGATGGTATCAGATGCGGATTGGTGGAGAGGCAACGTGGTGGGAAGTGCCGGGAGTTGCAGTGGACGACGTTGAGGGGTGGAAGCCGTTGAGGGAGCCTTATCTTGTCCAAAGAGGTTACGAAGTACAGTATACCGGTACACCACCTAAATCCACTTCAAGCGCGTCTACTAACTGAACCTCCTTAACAGCCCCAACTCTTGACTTCAGCCGTTCAGAAACTTTCCAGGGCGGATTCACCCCATTGTCCAATCCACCCGCTAGCCCAATCAATTCTTTGGACGGTAATACCTTGAACTTTTGCACCCGACCCCTTTCCCCCACGCCGCCCATCCCACCTTGGGCACCTGCAATGCGGCGATGTGCCCCGCACGACGGCCCCACCGGTAGCACGTGCGCAAGTAACTGCCGTACGTAAGGCCCAAAAGCATGAAACCCCACTCGTAACTCAGGATCCAGCCGTACACTGGTTCTACCTGCGCGATGTGCGTGTGTGGGGGGCGGGGGAGGAGTTGGGGGAGGGGGAGGAGTGTGTACGACGGCCGGGATGAAGGGTAGCTGCAGACTGTGTGTGTATTGTGGGCGGAGGCCCACACGATTACAGGGGCTATGGAGCGGTAAGGGGGTGAAGGTCCTGTGTGTGTGTGTGTGTGTGTGTGTGCAGGTGTATGAGGGTGTGGGTTGGACAGTTGCAAGCACGGGTGTGTCGTACTTGCTTGTCCGGACGTACAGGTTTGCATGTCTGTATGTTCCTGTGTGCCGCCGATGCTTATAAAAGCCGACGTGGTTTGCACGTGTATGGCATGTGTGCTTCTGAACCACGTGTGCACTCCTGCGTCTTGCGTATGCATGTATGTATGTATGTTTGTACGCATGCGCAATACGACCACGGAGTCCACAGACGCATGAAGCGGGGCCCCCTGTTCATCACATCCACCGGAATATCCACCAGAGGCCACCGACGATATCCCCCGATAGCTCCCCAACCTCCTTCTCTCCTATCCTCCTCCAGTTGCTCCCTCCCCTTCGTCCGCTTCATCTCTGTATGAACCCAGGTTAGCTTGCGCCAAGTGCACAACCCCTCACAGCTCCGAAACCCCAAAACACACCTGCTACCGCCCAACTGCCACTTACACTTGCCTACCTACCTATCCAGCAAAATCACCTTACCAGGGTCTAGGCCCCCAGCTGCACGCATCCAGCCGCCAACCCGCACCCACCTCCGATGGCACTATAAGGATTGTCGTGATCACGGCTACTAAGACACAGCCGTAACCCGCCGCCAGCGATCCCGCCATAAAATACTTGGGGAACACCTCCATGCCCCCGCCAGCTGCGCCACCGCCGCCGCCGCCGCAACCCCCGCCGCCACCGCAACCTCCGCCGCCGCCAGCGGCGCTGCTCCCCAACATCCGCAGTACAGTGTCGGTCCCGGCACCGCCGAGTGACAGCGCCCCTACCCCCGCCCCCGTCGCCACGGCCGATCCGCCGCCGCCGCACCCACCGCCGCCGCAGCCGGGCCCGCCGGAGGTGCGGCGGCATCGCACCACCAAATGCGACACTGCTGGCAGCGCAGTGGTTGCCGCATGCAGGAGGGCGGGTGCTAGGACCGACCAGTGGATGCAGATTGCGGTGAGGACGACGGCCCAGGGCAGCAACACCATCCATCTCTCCGCAAAGAGCTGTCGGTGGGTGCGGCCGCCGCTCAGGCCCCGCGAGTCAGCTCGCAGCCGGTTGCGGTAGGCCTGGTGGTGGTGTTAGGCGGGGGTTGTGTTGAAATGGGTTGTGTTATTGTGTTAAATCGGGTTATGTTGGGTTGTATTATTAGGTTGGGGCTGTTGCGGTTGGTTGGGTAAGTAAGTGAACGCAGCTGGGTGAGTGAGAGGTGATGTTCAGGTGAGGATGAGGTCTCGTCCCGAAGGCTTTTCTTGGTCTTTTGAACACCGCGCAGACCCCCGCGCAAACAACCTGGCGAATCCAGCCGAACCCACACCGCTCCTCCTCCACTCTCCCCCTCTCCCCGCACCGTGAAGGGATCCAACCCCCCATCTGTAAACCGCCGTAACACAAACTTGCTCCCAGAGCATCTGGCAGAGCATCAACGGGTGTGCTGCCCTCGCGTCACTCACGCGAGGCCCCTGCCGTACCCAACCACCAACGCCACCACCCAACTGCCTGTGCACATCTAGCCCTGTTGCTGTACTTCCTCAGCCGCCAGCTCTTCCCTGTCCCACACCACCCCTCATTCTAGCCGCCTATCGCCAAACTGCACTCAACCACTCCTGCGGCCTCCCACCAGCCCCATAGCACACACACACACACATACAGATGCACACAGACTTACTGCTATTTCTTTCGGTACATCCACCCCTGAGTGCCCTATTTCCAGTTCTTGCTTCTTCCAGCTCAAAAACACACGAGAAACACACGCCGCCCCTTCGGAACACACACACGCACATACATACAGATACACACACACCTGCCATGCGGGGTTCTCCCGCACCAGCCACCCCGACCACCACACCCAGGGCTTAAAGGGGCCCAGCGTGTAGTGTATGACGTACAAGGAGGACCGCGGCAGCATCCAGCGGTTGCTGCCCACCACGTAGAGACCGATGTCCGCGTTGAAGGTGGTGGGAAGCCGCATGTACTGATGATGCGCAGTATATGTATGTATGCATGTGTGTATGCGCGGTGAAACATTCCACATCCAGTCGTGGATGGTGCCAGAAAGGGACGGGAGCGAGCAGAAGAAGGGAGGGTGGGGTGCTTGTGAGAGACAGATGGGAAGCAAAGACGTTGCGGCGGGAATTAGAGGGAGCGGCAGTAGCAGCAGAAGCCTGACCTGCTGCTGCTGCTGCTGTACCGGCTGTAGTGCTGACTTGGAATCCATGTCGGCAGCCGCCTGGTATGGGGCATCATTCATCACATCACATCACACCACATCATATCGTGTATCGCCGGTGTGCGTCACTTGCCACATGTCACACCATGTAACCATGCTAAAATCCTTCATGCACCGCGTCGTACATAGCCCCATCATGTTTACCAGCGTTTTCAGGGCTTCTTCAATGTGTTGCTATGCCGATATGAAGGGAGGTTGTTGGCTAGGAGAGGAGTCTGAAATTGCGACAGCTATTGCGGGATACATGTGCTGGGGGCGTGAGGAGGTGCCGTGATGGCGGTGGCCATGGTAGGCAGGAATACAATTAGTGAGGGGAGGGAAGCAACAGTAACGTAAAAACATAATATGATTAATATATATGTATATATATGTATTATAATCTTAAATAGTAAAGGACGAAAACCCCGGGAAGTATTTTTCAGGGAGGCACGACCGTCAATCTGTGGTAGAGCCCCTACACAGCGCCCCCAGGTCCCACAAGGCGAGAAAGTGCACCAGGAAAGGTTGCCGCTGCAGTGGCTATCCAGTGGCTATCCCCGGGGAAGTGCAATATCATATAATATATTTGGACCACGGGACCTCATAAACCACAACCGACACCACAGCAACAGTATTCGTTTAACATGAATGCAACCGTCTCTGCAACAGCATCCTTCATTGGCTACAGCACAACCATGACCAACTGACGTACATTGACGGAACGTACTTTGTACTGGTCGGGTGTGTACGGCGTCTCGGGGTCGAATAGAGGCGAGTGTGCGAAGCTCGGAAAGTAAGAATTGAGGAAGCCTTGATCCCCTCTGAGGCGCGGGTGGTGGTGGTGGTGGTGAGGTAGGAGGGAGGGAGCGGGGGAAAAGGGATGGGACGAGTTGGGTTGGATTGGGGGATTAGTCTGAGGGATTGGAAATGAAATGAAAATGCTCGTTTTCTGCTTCAACATTCCCCGTGCGACATCGCCAGAGCACATGGGGCCTTCCTGTCACCTATCCCCGTCCGTGTTACTCGCTTTCTCTCCCTCCCGCCCTTCCTGCGTTTCTACCCCTTTCCCCCGGGCACCGGGCACCTTTCTCCAAGAGTGCTTCTGGCCAGCTTCCACCTCCCCACCCCTTCCTCTTTCTCCTCCTCCCCTTCGCACGCCCAATATCACACACTCATTCCTTTCCGCGAGTACCCTCCCCCCAACCACAACCCTCCTCTCTCTTTCCTCTGTATCGTATTGTGTGAAATGCCGCTGACCGGGTTCACCCACACATCCCTTTCCAGAACGTTCGTACACTTCTGTACATATTCCCAACAGACATTCGTACCCTGTGTACGACGGCATGCTCCGCATCTTTGCCATCATGTCATCGTACATCTCCAGGGAAGGCACCAGGCTCATGACGCCCGTGTTGAATCGCTCGCTGTGCCGCAGGGCGGCACAGAAGCCCGGACACTTGAATATGACGTCCATGTTGCGAATCACCAGCACATCAGCATCCAAGAACACGACTGTGACGAGAAAGGGGGTTGGGGATCGAGGAAGGATGAGGAAGGATGGCAGGAGGGGTGGGGATCGAGGAAGGAAGGCAGGAGGGGCAGGGGGTAGGGGAGCTGCGGGTGTGTAAGAAGGACTGGAACCGCGTCGGCGGCCATAAACACATTGGGGCGAGTCGGAGGGATGAGGTGACCTTACCAAATGGGGCAATACGGACTAAGAAAGCTACCGACTTGCGGGGCGCGGAGGTACAAGTGAATGCAGGGACGGAGATGGGGTTTTAGACACACAAGACACAAACACACATGCACACACGAAGACACGTCGGACCGGGCCAACCTCCTTTTTCCCAGGTGGGCAAACGCGCCAGGTGGGATGCGCGAGTGGAACCGCATCCCCGCGTCCCCCAGCCATGCTGCATTCGCCCCCTCCCCACCATCTCCAACCCGCGCCCTCCATTCCCGCTTTCCTCCCCCCACGCTCTTCACATACGAGCAATCGCTCTGCAAAGCCCCCCATCACCCACAGGGACCCCATCACCCACAGGGACCCCATCACCCACTTTTCTTGTATTCGGTCATCTGAAATATGTACAGCTTGGTGTACACGTACGCGAACCTCGGCGGGAAGCCCGTGGGTTGCGGCCCTGTCCCCGGGTTCTTGACGGGGGCCACATGCACCACCCGCCAGCCATCAGCCGCCAGGGTGAGCTCAGAGCTGGCCTTCAGGGAGCCCGTGGTCAGCGCCACCATATCACTGCGGTAAGGCAGGCGGGGAGAAGGGGGGGCTTAGGGAAGGAGAGGGCACGGGAAATTTGTGGTTTGAGCTTTGGGGGCCGAAGGAGAGGCATAACATAGATGCAACTGGCGGAAGTCCTCGACAGAGTTCGGGCGCTGGAGACAGAGACGGTGGAAAAGAGCCTGTGCGTCACTGCGATGTGTATGCGGGTCTGGAGTGTTTGGTTCAGAGATGTGAGGAGCGTGGTATGTGGGAGAGGTGAAATTTGAGGCGGTGTAGTAGGACGATAGGCTGCGCTCGGCAACCATCCCCTCGAGTCTTTATTCCATGATGTAAAGCTCCTGGCCGGTTACGGCATGGCACGCTGCGAGAGGCTGGTCGTTGTGGCCATACCGAACACATAACGGCGAACGCCTCTGCCGCCCTTAGACTAGCGTGGCGCGCTAGACTTGAACCTAAGGCTGCACACGTCCTTCAATAGATATCCGCAACTGAATCGCGCTGTCGCTATAATGCCGAGGCGCAGCTGTCTCTGTAGCCCGCGCAATTTCGCAGGGGCAACGTACCGTGTCGTGCCAGATTCCCTTAGAGATTGCCCAAGCACCCGGGCAGCTAGGACGAAGTCTTCTCCATAAACAAGTGTCGCGTACGCCTCCGAAGACCTTGCAGGGGTCGTTTTGATAGAAGTCGTCGCCGCCTCGGACGCAAGGGACGCAACAAGTATTCCTATGACTGAAGCTGTCAAACCTAACATTTTTCCAAGTGGCTCGACACAGCTGTTACTATGAGTGTACCCTAAAGTGCTCGCATAACAAAAGCGTGGTACAAAGATGAGTTTTCTTATGCTTTTGCATTTTAAAAAATCCCTTCACAGTAACACAGGTCAGCGTTCGTATTAAAGGTAATATTCAAAGTTGATGCGTCGACGTTTTCGCTGAGCTTCTTGATACTTTCAAATTGTACTGTACGGCACGACAACCAGGAGAAAAAATGAGTTCTCGATAGTGGCGATCCATGCACTTACGCAGCTGATAATAAAGCACACTTTACGCGGCATCAGAGATCTTACAGCAATGTTGCTTCGCTTGCTAGGACACAGCCACGGTGGAAGCCACAGCAATTCAGCTCTTGCCACCGGCAATCCTCTTCTGTAATGCGGTCTAGCCGATCATTCACCTTCCTTCCAAACTGGTGCGCTTGCCGCGGTGCCCTGGTTTCAGCACATCAACAGTATCAAGGTAAGGGTACTGCATACCTACGTACAGGGCATTGACCAGGTACTATCAGGCAGTCTCGTGTCTTAGGGTTGGGTCACGACAGGGAGATGCGGGCAGGGGGTCAAGTTACACTTGGTAGATGCGTTCGGTCGATGACCGAGGGTTACCCGAGGATGCGAACATTTCACCCTTGCTGCATTCCTCCTCTCCAAGGAGCATCGTCCACGCATCCAGCACGACCTACCTGCTAACCTGACTGTACAGCCTGAGCGGCTGATTGGAAGGGGAAGGACGGACCCAAGGAGCAGCCGCGGCACAGATTGCATGCATGTACGCATGCTATACAGAACGGATGGGCACGCAGACAGACAGACGGACGAGCCGAAGCAGACAGATAAGCTGGTACACAAACAGACGGACAAGGATATAGACAGAGAAAGTGAACGGATAAACTGGCGAACGGTGTAAGACGAGTTGCCACACTCTTCCCAACCCTTCCACGAGCACTGTATATAACATCGGAAAAACCGACCCGCCGCTCTTCCGTACGTTTCCTTTGTGAACTCACGACCAGAGACCCGAGACTAACGATCCACAAATCTACGACGCAACACAGCCAGCACTCTTATGTTTATAACAGCAGGGCAAATCGATTTAGCTCACTGCTCACACGTAGATCCGGCAGATTCCGTTGGATGCCGGTGGTGGGTGCGGAACCTGAGCGATCCACTGAGAAGTTGACTAGGGTGAGAGGATGAAGGTGCCCCGAAATACCGGGGAAGGCAGGTTCTGCCGGGTAGCGGCCGCAGGGTGAAGATATGACCCCCCTGCCCCACACATACATACGTACATAACGTATAATAAGTGTGTTGTACAGTGTTGCATAATAACCTTGCTTGGTTGACAGGGCTCTCAATCCATCTGCTGGCGCTTGTTCGTCATGATTTTGATTAAGAACTGCGCGGTAAGAAAGATACTTAACGTCGGTGCACGGATGCATGGGACGGGTAGGTGTGGAGGAAGCCGCACGTGGGCATACGACAATTGTACGGACGTCAATTTAAAGATGGAAAGTAACAACACTTGTTGCTTGTAGGCACTACAACACCTGATGCATATACATACACATATCAGTATACATCACATATGCTAAGGCGCAGTTTGTGTCCCTGCAAAATTCCAGGTTCATTCTTGACAAAGCGTGGGACGTAAATCCCGCCAGCAAGGCGCATATACTCTCCCATGCCAATCGATCGGAGTTAGACCCGAGTTTAGTGACCTGCTATCGATATAGATATCCATGTGTGGAATTAACGCTGTCGACGACCCCAAACATTCCAGTGAATACTGCTGGAGGGGTGTGTGTGTGTGTGTGTGTGTGCCGTTCCACTCGATAAACTCAATCAAACACCTTTAAGGAAGTCGCGGCATGGTTGCAGAGAAGGATGAGGGTGTCCCGAACGTTCGATGTTAACAACCGGGAAAGGTGGCTAGGAACTGCCAGGCTAGTGGACAGGGGTGAAGCTACCTACAACCCTCTACTCTACACAACGAATCATCCATAAGTACACATTCGCACATCCTTTATACTATATATACTTTTTTATTACGCGCTTATTTCCACATATACACCAGTTTATTAAAATATAGACCGCAATCTGTATGTATATGGCAGCGGAGGGAGGAATACCACTACAGCTCTCATCATGCCCTGCCCACACTTAAGGCGTGCGGTGCGGGCAGCGCCGAAACCCATGCTTATATACATACGTGCGGCACGCAACACGATGAACACATATTGTATTAATAGATATAGGATGCATCTGTAACAAAACATACAACTTCGCACTGAGTCCTTTCCCTGCGTGAGCTCTTCACGTCGCCCCCATCACTCTCCTCATCTGCAGCACACCTTTCCCTGCGGCGCGTGCGTGGCGTATTTCCGTGTTAATAGCCAACCCAGCCGTTGCACCACAGAGGGCGGACTCGGATTTAGGAGGTGGCCCGAAGAAGCCGCGGCTCGGAGGTGGCCCTCAGGCAACAGGAGAGGGTGCATTCACTACTCTAGGGTGGACATAAAGAAGTCCGCGGAATAAACCGGAACGGTGACCGGTAACTCTTTCCGGGAACGCGAGATCATGATCTACATAACGTGCTCACTTGGTATTCCTTCTAAGCACGTTATGCCCCCCCAGTGGGCTGTCAGTATTGGTATTAATATGTTTCTATGTAATTGAGACACAGATCACTACGATGTATTCATATGTATGCATTCATGCAGTTGTTGAGAATCATCCGCAAGCAAATACTGCTCAGGAAGTTCCCTACAGAGGGTTGCAGAGATGGGGGATTGGGGGCAGGTACTGGTCAGGCGGGATGGGGAATAGGGTTGACGACGTCAGGATGGGATGTGGGGCCCAGGGCGAGGATTAGGGATTAGGCGTGCTACACTACTTTTGGGATGGGGATTGCTGTCGGGGGTGAGGATGGGGATGGGATCCCTGTCTGAGGGATGGGGATTGCAACCTTGACCAAGGAGGGGATTGGGAGCCCTGGCCAGGGATGGGGATGGGACCCTGGTCGACAGGACGGGGATTGCAGGCTTTCGCAAGTTTAGGATGAGCTCGCTGCCATAGGATTGGGAACACAGTTGGAGGATTAGAATTGGGTGTTCTGCTGTAAAATGAGGCTGCAGGTGCAGAATTGGGAATACTGACAGGACTGCAAAACAGGCCAAGGATGAATGGTTTAGTTGTCCATAGTTGCTTACATGGAAACTCAAATAAACACAAGGAAGTTCTGCTTGGAAGTCGCGTCCCATAGCAAACCAAACTCAAACACAAGGAAGTTCTGCTTATAAGTCGCGTCCCATAGCAAACCAAACTCAAACACAAGGAAGTTCTGCTTGGAAGTCGCGTCCCATAGCAAACCAAACTCAAACACAAGGAAGTTCTGCTTGCAAGTCGCGTCCCATAGCAAACCAAACTCAAACACAAGGAAGTCCTGCTTATAAGTCGCGTCCCATAGCAAACCAAACTCAAACACAAGGAAGTTCTGCTTGCAAGTCGCGTCCCATAGCAAACCAAACTCAAACACAAGGAAGTCCTGCTTATAAGTCGCGTCCCATAGCCAACCAAACTCAAACACACGGCCTTGGCCATCTCTTCATTAGTCCTGCGCCTTTTCTCCAGCCGTGGTGACGCATCCTCGCCCAACTCGTCAGCGGACTGCGCAGTCGGGGCACATGCTGCTTTTGCAAGCTTGAGGGCTTGGAGAGCTTTAAGGTTCGGGGCGAGGGCCCTCAGCGACTTGATTGCCACCTCGGAATCCGCATCCGCCAGCCGTGCGTTGACTTCGACCTCTGTGCCAGCAAGGAAGACAGAAAGCAGGCGGTGACAAAACAGCAAGTTTGCACCTTTCGTTCAAAACAAAACCGAATGGAGTTGGCGTCACAGGCAGCGGCTCATAAAGTCGGTAACATGCCAGGGTCCCAAACTTCCATTGGTATGGGCGTAGGCATCGACCTAAAACAAGACCCATTGCAAAGAGCGCAAGCGTCGGATAAAGTATACCCTGTAGTGGTTGGTCAGTCCTGGTCAGTCCTGTCCAGTCCTGTTCAGCAAGCGGTGAAACCAAATTAGGCTGAAGTGGTTCTTACCGCCAGCCACGGTCTTCACTGACGCCAAGTCCACCAAGCCTTCTTCAGACAATGTTTTGGCGATGGCGGCATCGGCCGACTGCCCGATGGGGTCCATCCCAAGCGTTTCCACGATGACTTCGGCCATGTCCCTGGCGAAGCCCAACCCCGTCAATTTTGCCAGCTTTTGACGCTTCTGCAGAAGGTTAACACCATTGGGAATAGAACAGGCATGGAACGCGACTTGGTGTAAATGTGAGAAAAGTGCACCATTGGTGCACCCTGCCAGTTCTTCAGTCAGACGCAGTCCAACCCCGTTCTTACCTTGTCCGGCCCATGCACATCCACATCCAGGGCACCATCGGGTGCCATTCTGGAAGAGATAACAAACGGTCGTCGGGCTGTTACTAGCTTGCGCTTAACAAGGTGGGCGTCTTCCAAGACGAAGTTTGGGACACTTTGAATAAGACCCGAACGAAATCTGTATGCAATCTGCAGACCCTACTGGGGGACAAGTCCGCAGGAGGCGTATCAACATGCAAGACGTTATCAACAGCAAGCCGGTTTGGGGGTCCAAGTACAGCCTGTCACGCTGACTAGTTGGACAAGGCTCTTCTGCGTGAAGGCAGAATGATTTCACCAGGAGAGCAGCAAGAATGAAGTCGCCACTGCGACCCAGTTGCACGACAGCACCACAGAACCAGCCTTAGAAGCTCTGGTCGCTTCGCTCCGTCGCATCTAAGCCAACAAGACGTTATCAACAGCAAGCCGCTTTGGGGGTCCTGGCTCAAAGTGAGGCCCACCCTGGAGTTAGTTGTTCAGCTTTCATGTACTTCCTCAAACAAACTGCTTCTCTAGTACTGTGATGTTTTATTGGTTATATTCATGCAAACTGAGCTGAAGTTGCAAGGCGCGAAGATGCTGGCCGCATCATGCCGCTGCGGCTGCGGTGCGGCACCGCATTCCCAAGCCAGTATGCACAACTCTGAGAAAATTTGCAGTCTTCATTGTTTTGTTGTGGCACAACTCCACGTATCTCTGCACATTAGTGCATAGGAGCAATTCTTGCGCAGATGTCCAAGTCGACTCAAAAGCATTCCAATTGGACTGTCTGGCTTGATGTAATGTTATCAGGTTGTTTGTCTTAGCGCTTTGGCGCACCCAACGTGGAATGTTGGCGCCGGACTGTGCAGCTGAACTCCTGCGCTATGGGTGAACCATGGTGCACCCGTTCCTTCGCCATCATCAGCACGTTCCCAGCCATGGTCATTTTGACAGAACACCCTTGTATGTTCTGCCATTCTAACCACAGCATTATAATTTGTTGTTGTGGCCGTCTATCGAACATAACAATCCTTCCTCCCTTAGGACGCGCTATTTGCACTAGCAGCCAGTGTGCAATTAGATACGTAGACCTCTGTGATGCGAGTTCTTCCTCAGTTGAGATCCGCTTCAACGAGCGTTTGTCGCTTCAGTCTGCTTCGGAACGAACACAGCCGGGCGGAATTTGACGCTAGAGGAAATAAGCCATAGAGCAAGAGAAAAACATCTCGCGGAAATAGAAAATAACCCTGGTCATTCCCCTGATTTACGCCTAAAGAGAAAGCCGATATTACAGCACCTGTGTAAACGTAAGGAGTAGGTTTGTAGCTGGCAAGGGATGGGGATGGGACCCTGGCTGACAGCTTTCGGATCTGAACACAGCTGCAGGATGGGGATGGCCCTGGTCGAAGGGATTGGGAAGGGACCCTGGCTGGCAGGATGAGGATTGGGGGAACACAGCTGCAGGATGGGATTGGAAACCCTGGCCATAGGATTGGGGATGGGACCCAGGCTGGCAGGATGGGAAACCTGTCTCAAGGGATGGGATTAGCACCGGGCCCCTAAGATGGGAGATGGGAGTCGGTCACCCCAGCCAGGATGGGGGGATGGCTGACCACTACCACCCCCCGGGATTGGGGGATTAGACCGTTTTTGCAACCCTCTGTTCCCTAACTGCTTTCGCGGACGTGGGTTCATTGATCTAAAGCTGCAGTGAATGTCCGCAGCGTACGGCAATTGTATACTACGTACTCGCAATACATAGATCGCTGTTGTTCCGTTTTTTTTCCATATATGTCAACTACTTGATGTTCAGCTCCGAAGTTCGCCCTTTTAGTCGGCATCAAGGGAGGGAGCCCGTTCCGCGCAAAGAAATAATATAATAGTACGGCATGATACAAACTAACACAAACCATGGAATGGAAAAATCCGATAGCTGGCTAGTAGTGCTGCCGAAAATGGCTCGCAGAAAGGGCCTTAGCGTGTATGTGGAGCAAATAACTTAGGCATCAACCGTACTGCCCGCACGACACCGATAGGCAGGGACCATCTGGGGGCATTTACACCTCGAATAATAACATGGCAGTGTAGCAGTGTACGAATGAACGTCAGGCAGAAGCAAGTTTGCACCGGCCATTATAAGGCGCTTGCATACACACATGCATACATCCACACGGGACAATTTGCATCACAAATCTTTTGGGTCCTCCTGGGTCAGCACAAAACCCATCAGCTTCTAAACGACCTAAGTCGGCATGTATATAGATGGAGGTCTCTACACAACCACGAATTCAATGCGGCCGGCGATACACAAGGAGGGACACACAGCGACATCAACAGCAAGGTATTTCTGTCCAGGCGGCCGACGGCAAGACGAACGAAACGGAACACCCGCCAAGATCATCATCTCTAGGTATGTACTTCCAAATACAGATGACTGTTACTATTAGCCAGTCTCTGCTGTAAAAGGAACACTTACTCGGTGCCTGGCAGGAGGCGGGAGCCAGTCGAAAGCATTCTTTAAAATTTAGCACAAGAAAAAACACGCCGCAACAGCGTCGGGCCCGTACATCCTGCTCTGCCCAAGCAAGGCGCTTTCCATCCAAAGCATGGCGTGGAAAAAGGGTTTGGAACGCTAAATAAAAAAACATGCATGATCAATGTTTCCTATTTACTGTGTGCTGGTTAAACAGATAAACCTACACACAGATCTTTTACACCGGGTATGTAATTGTTGGGTCCACAGCATCGTGGAATATCCGTAGCAGTGCGTGGTGAATCACAACTAACCACAGTGCGTATCCAGTACTTGGTCTAGGTGCTAGGTGCTAGGTTAAATAACACGGCTGTACAGTTGTCGGGCGTCCGCACAATCATACTGTGTTACTACTATGCGCCATCAAGAGGCAAATATTACTGAACTGACCGAAGGCATACAAATACTTCACTGATACACAATTAGTAGTTATTTTCATATATTAACAGCGATCACACTCCTGGCAATATCAAGTGTTTAAACGTTAACTTGACGCAGCAGGGAACATAGAAATAACACCGCCTATGCTCCCTCAGACGAGTAAGCGGCTCTGCAGAGCTGAGGCCTGACTTATTCATGAACAAAGTGGATGGATCAAGCAAATCCTCCAAGGAAGATTACCGAGCACATCCTTTGACCCCTCGTCCTACCTCCTTTTTTGAACCAGTGAATGCATAGTTTAGTTTTGATGACAAAACAGTTTTGTTGCAGCCATGCGGCTGTGACATAAATTGTTACTCCGACCATGCATGGGGGCACGCAAGCGCCAGGGTCCTCCTCTCCCTTTCTCTTCCCCCCAAAAAAGCAGGCTCCTGCCGGTTGAATATATATATATATATAGGGTTTTAGGGTTTATATATATATATATATGTAGAAGCTGCCGTGAGGAAATACACATGATGGAAGATGCGGCAGCATCCTGCTCGCAGCAGCTACATACATACAGCATACAGCAAAAGCAGCCATGGTCAAAACTACTTAGCCAAAACATAAAACCAGCCAAGGCCATGTGCGACCAAAAGCTGCGACAGAAGTCCGGAGCCCGCAGCGGGACGGAGCTCCGAGACCGCCGCGGGTTGCGAGTCAGCAAAACTCCATAACTTTCATGGCTCCAGGGAAACGAGCGGGCACCTGCTCGCGGCGGCCCTGCTCGCGGCGAAAGGCCGGCAAGAAACAGACAGTACGAGGTGAATGAATACGCAAAAACCTAAATACGTGATTTTAGTGGCGTGATCTGTCTGTCTGTGAAATTCGTTCAAAAAAGTGCATTTCAGCGTCAAGAATATCGATACCGCGCGACGCTAGTCACGCCTAGCTCTCCGCGGGGCACAAAAAGCTTTGCTCTGGTCGGGAGGCACAACTGCAATTTGCGGTTTAAATTTTGGGGTTCGATTCCGGGGTAGGCCCCCGACAATGTCGGGAGCAAGAGATTATGGCTTAGCTGCTGGCAGTTGATGGACCGAGATTTGCACACTGGATTGATGGCGATTGCGGAACCCTCTTGTTTCTTCGGATGTTCGGGTGGCATGATGATGCGGGATTCTAGAAGGCAGGACCAACCGCCTTGGACTTGCAGTTCGTATGGCGTAGTACAGTGTGGTAATGGTGGATGGTGCTGTATGGTGTTCAATCCTGGATGCATGACAACTCAAAAATGTGCAAATGGCCCAGAAGCCTTCCAATCTGTCACAACAACAACAACAACAACAACAACAACAACCACAAAAAGATCACAACAAGAGGTTTCTCCGCTGACGCACGCAAATACGCAAATGCGAATTGAAAAAATGCACATACACGCAAATATATGCGCAAAGCAAACACGCAGACGGTGTGAGCAAGGAATTCCGAGGAGAGAATTCGTCCTTGGTAATTTTTAACGAGCGAGCAAGCGAGCTGGGAATGCTAGGTTAATTATTAGTGCGGCACCGGCACCTAGCAACATCCAGCGATAAGGGGGCTCCAAAGTCCCGCCGACGCCCCGCGATGGACAGAATGACAGGGTGGCTGGTAAGGAAACGCCTAGATGGCAAAAAATGGAAAGCGAGTAGGATGATGGATGCACCGACATGCGCCTCCCCCTTCATCACCGCCGCGCACCATTTTCAGCACCACACCTTGACGACACCGAAACCACCATCACCCGCCGCACAACAACCGCCACCACCAAACCACCGCCACGCCAGTACTGCAGCATGGAGACTCGTCGATGCAAGTGCATGGCCTTCTCCTGCCGTACAACACGCATGCCTGCAATGTCCACCGTACGACCTCCTAAGTGGCCCTCTCCTTCCTTCCCGTGCCCGGTCGACTCGTCACCCTGTAGAAGTAAAACCAGTAAAGCAGCCGTTGGGGGAGTCGTGCTTGCCAATGTGCTCTGGTTGCTGCTCTGCACGTCCCTTTGCCCTTCTTGCGCGTGATACGTGGTGTGTCCAAACACTTGTACGACAATTGTACGACAGAAGTAACACGGCCTGTCCAGGGAGTCTTCAGACAACTGCGAGAGAGAGAGAGAGACAGACAGACAGACGGAGAGGCGCAGCAGGCAGGCAAACAGCAGCTGCGTGCATGCTCTTCACATATGTCGTGCTCTTCAAGCTTTTAACAATGTCTCCGTCATCTCGACGAGCAAGTGTTTGCAGGTCAGTGTACGCCATCAACAACAGCAGTAAGTCCTATCGCCAGGCGCGAGCCCCAGAAAAATGCATCTGCGATGATTGCTGCAGCTGTTGCAGCCTGCAGCTACTGCGATGCTGCGGCACAGCCGCCCACTGCACACGTAAATCTGTAAGTATACGTCACGCCAAATAATGCAAAAAAGGCTAAAGCCAAAGCAGCGATTTCTCTCTCTTCCTCTGTCCTCCACTCACCACACCACGCACGCATGCAAATTTAGTTATGTCGAAAAGCGCGGTCCTTCGCGATCGTTCCGCACCACAAGCAACAATTACTTTAATAATCGCGGTCACCACAAGCACATTACAAAAATTTGCTGGAATTCCATAGCATTAGAATATTTGAGTCAACAATGCGAAATGTGTAGAAAAAACCAAGCATGGTTTTATGCTTCAAGTATAGTTTAGCATCGCGCGCGTGTGTGGCATGGCAATTTTTTATATCAGTGCTGCTTCACAAAATCGGCGCTCCCGGCCTAAGGAGTCATCTTTACGTAACAACATTAACCTCCGAAATGGTAGGGAATTGGCAACGCCTGAAACAGCAGGTGACATCAAACCGATGGCTATCCCTTTGCGCCCTCCGCTTCGTTCCTCCTCCTCTACTCCTTATCAATGATCCTCAATCCAAGTTCATCTTCACCCGAAAATCGTGTGCCGCATGGACTCTGTGCTTTTCAGCAGCTATACACTTTCAGGACTATATTTTACTATATTTAGCGCGACTGAACGCAATCTCACACATTCGCTCGACGGAAAAACAAACAGGACAGGCATGCCCTCAGCCTCCAGGAAAAACTAGGCGCGGGTGCCTAAACTACACTACCTCTGAGCCGCGGCAGGATTCTTTTGACCAGTCGTAACTTAAACGGCAAAAAGCTAAGACCCGCAATTTGGGAGTTTGCGCAGTTGCTCCTGAATCACAAACCACCATGTCGCTTGTAACTACTAACGAACGTAGTAACTAACCACTTGCGCAGCCAACACGGCCCGAACGATCGGCGTTAAAGCTGGCAATTTCAGAAGAGTGGCAACTACTATAATATCGCAATATGTTCTGTCCTTTCCGACCGCATCAGGCCTACCTGCAGGTCCCCAAACAGATCGGCAGGAAGAACTCAGCGCGGATCATTTCAAGCCACTAACCTCTTTATGTATCTTCCCTCGACTTAATAAATTCTCATATCAGTCTGCCTGTGTTCCATTCGCCTCCTCTCTCCTCCAGCAGTCATTTACCAACCATGACAAGACGTTGAATCGGCTTGTTCGAGAGCAGCAGTTCATCATGCATGCATCCGTCCTTCCTTCCTTCTCTCCGGCTGCATTCTCCAGATGCCCTCAAGTACGTGCGTTACGTGCAAGCAAGCACCTACTAAACACCCATACACCCATACATACACCCATACATACACACGTCCATACAGACGTACATACACACCTGCCCTTCTGTCGCGGGCGCCCCGCAAGGCCATGGACCTCCGACGCAGGCCCCCTGCTGTGTGTTTACCAGCAGCGGCAGCCGAGCCCCATGACGCTGCCGTGCGAGATCTCCAGTACGGCCATCCCATGTCGGAGATCGACGGCACTGCCACATCTCCACCGCCACCGCCGCCGTGTCAACCGCCGCTTCACTGATCGCAACACCGGCAGCGATACGGCGCCGACGGCAGAGCTGTCCGGTCCTCCGTCGCTGACAACAGCTGGCGCGGCTAAAGCAGCGGTGGCGGCATTGCTACCCAGGTACCCGCTGCCCCATCGCCGCCAAGGGCCAGGGCCACAAACCCCAAACCCTAGCACAGCGCTGGTGAAGGTTGGTTCGTCGTACGCATGGGGATATGGCATCGGCATCGGCATCGGCATCGCCAACGCAGTCGGTGGCGGCGGCGGCGGCGGTGGCGACGACGTTCGCGGCGGTATCCGTACCTGGCATGGACCCTCGTTGGCATTCCGACGACGACGACGACAACCCCCGCAGGGTATATTGCGGCCGCCGCCAGCACGCGAGTCGTCACCGTCATCGGCTCGCCCTCTTGGAGTCCGCCGCGGCAACGGCGGCTACTTTGCGGCGGCCGCTTTCGGTTTCGCCTGGGGGCCCGCGGCTGCGGCTGCGGCTACGGAGTAGCGGCCAGCACACGACCTGAGCAAAAGGGACGGATGATGAGTGAGGGAGGAGGAGGATGAGCGAAAATTCACTGCGGCGACTTCATAAATTCAAGCAGCTACGTCAAGCAGCAGCAGTTTCATTCAACAATTTAATGGCACGTCGCTGCCAACAAAGCTCGCTCCGGTGTAAAGTTTTATTCGTGTACCACCATAATACTGGATTCACATGCTACGTTACGTTGCGAAAACTTTTAGGTAAAAGTGGCTCTGAGAAAGTCACCCAGTTCACACGGGACATTACGACGACGTTGTATTCGTTGGCGCGAGCTGTGTCAAACCATCTCCATTTTATGTCTTTCAATGGCCAAAACTTCAGAACATCCCCTTAGAATTGCAAGATATATTTGAAGGGTGATTGGCAGCCCTGCCTACTGCAATCGCACTGCATCCCGCGCGAGCCGCGATGGCGTTTGCCCTAGGGGTCGCGCTGGATGAAATTTTTGATAATCTTGAAGATATGTTCAATGCTCAGTGGCAGAGATTGAGCGTGTGGGCCGACGCGGCGCGGCCCATGCCGCCGGAAGTGCGGCCGACTTGCCGTTTCGCGGGTGGCTTCAGCCCTGATACTACAATGGGTTACATATTGGCTATGTAAGCGGTCGTGAGCGGTCGAGCAACACGAGCGGCGTTGTCCTTGTTCATTTTTATAATATAAGGCAGCGGTGTGACTAGAAATTCAGTCGGAGTGCAAAGCGCGCACAATTTGTCAAGTATGTGGTCTTTATAAGCGATTGGGCTTGGCCGTTTGTTATAACTCGCGAAATTGGCGACGCATTTCAAGTAACGGTACGAGGGGTCAGCGTTTGACGAAATTGACCCCCCCCCCCTGGTCACTTTAGACTTTTCGTCCACTTTACCGGTAACGTACCGTTACCACGTCCGAACCGACCACTTTTTCCAAAAAGTTTCAACGTAACGTAGCATGTGAACTGGCTATAACCGCCATTTCCCTAACCACGGCTTCGAAGATCCATTATCACACACACAAAAAAACACACAAACACACACACAAACACACACACACGCAGCTTACCTCCTTCAGCTGCATTACGATGCCGCTCCCCAGTTCGCCGTTCTCGTGCTTGCCCTCCAGCAGCAGCAGCTCCTCAGCTCGGAGCCCTAGCGGCTCCCTCGTACGGCAACTCCACGGCACTGGCAGCTGCCCCATCGCAAGGGGCCAGCAGCCGCGACGGCTCCGCCGCCGCCGAATCCACCCCCAGTCGGATTACCGCACTGGTACTAAGGTACTTTTAAGAATATCGAGAATGATCAATCCGGTTGGTTACTAGGTAACATACCTGGCCCTCTGCCGCCGCTGCTGGCATTGGTTCCTGACCCAACGTTTCCAACGGTGTAACGGCGAGGCGGAGGCCACTCGGGTTGTTTGTCAGCAGCGGCAGAGGGGGGCTCTGCCATAGCCGCCAGTGGCCGCAGCGGCGGCGGCGGCGGCGGCGGCGTTTTTGCACGACGGCCACGACGACCGCCGCCGTCACGAGGCAGATGTAACCGCTCCGCGCCACCGTCGCGCGCAGCTGCACACCCCCGTGTTTGCCAGCCAAGCTTAAAAAACTAAGCCCGAGCGTCGTGTTGAAGGTCTTCGGGCGAGCAGTTTATTGCGCGGCGCTGCACCTGTCCGGTGGTGACGGCGTCGCCGCCACTGGCTCCGGGGTTCTCGTGCAGCACGGCGGCGGCAGTGCTGGCAGCGAACGTGGCGGACTTTCGGTATCGGCGCCGCCGCCGCCGCCGCCGCTGCCGCCGCCGCCGCATGAAATGGGGTTGGGTAGGTAGTCAGGAGGTGGGCAGGCCACGGTGCTGAAGCTCAAATCCATGGTCGCCGCGGCTGCGGCGTTTTTGGTGCAGCAGCAGCAGCATCTGCCGCCGTTTCCGCTCCCGCCTGCTCTTCGCTAAAATGAACCACCTTGCGCCGCTGTAACGCCAGCTGGCTTGCCCTGCAAGGTCGTCTCCAAGGGCGAGTCCTGCTCTACCAGATGCGTTACCTGTGGCTGCAGCTGCTGCTGCTGCTGCTGCGGCAGGCTGCTACAGCCGTGAAAGGTGCCGTACGGGCTGTGGCGGTAGCCCTCATAGCTCCGCACGTTAGCGCGGGCCTCGGCCTGAACGACCCTTGGGTCGCTGGCGCCGCAGTCGCTGCCGCCACCACTGCCACCGCTACGGCTCGCACCGCCACAGCCACCGCTGCTGCTGCTGCTCCAAGCGGGCTGGGTCGTGAAGAGGCCAATGGGATCGACAGATGTCGAGGGGGGGGTGCCCTGGGCGCCAGTCTTTGGGTTTACACTCCCATAATGCGCGGTGGGGATCTGCTGCTGCGGACTAGCTCGTAACGGGTTCATGCTCTCTTCGTTCAATGGTACCCGTACCGGTGCGGCATCTCCAAGGGGGCCGCCGCCGCCGCCGCCGCCGCCATGGCCACTCTGAGTGACGGCGGCAGGAAAGCAGTGACCGCTCGGAATAACGTACGACACCAAGAGCTGTTGCGGAGGCAGCACTGCTGTGGCTGCGGCGGCGGCGGCAGCGGCCATCTGTTCATGTCCCGGCGGCGGCGGCGGCGGCTGGCACAGTATGCTGGCGGCACCTTCCGGTTGTGTCGGGGCAGAGAACAGATTTTGGGGCTGCGGCTGCGGCTGCTGCGCTTGCTGCGGCTGTTGTGCTTGCTGTGGCTGTTGTGCTTGCTGCGGCTGTTGTGCTTGCTGCGGATGCTGCTGTTGCGCTTGCTGCGGATGCTGCTGATAGTGCTGCTGCCACTGCTGTTGCTGTTGCTGCTGGTACTGCTGCTGCTGGTACTGCTGCTGCTGGTACGACTGCTGTTGCTGCTGCTGCTGGTACGGCTGCTGCTGGTACGGCAGCTGTTGCTGCTGCTGCTGGTACGGCTGCTGCTGGTACGACTGCTGTTGCTGCTGCTGCTGGTACGGCAGCTGTTGCTGCTGCTGGTACGGCTGCTGCTGTTGCTGGTACGGCTGCTGCTCCTGCTGCTGGTACTGCTGCTGCTCCTGCTGCTGGTACGGCTGCTGCTCCTGCTGCTGGTACGGCTGCTGGTACGGCTGCTGGTACGGCTGCTGCTGGTCGTGATGGTACTGCTGCTGCATTGCGTTCTCCTGGAAAACCTTAACAAGGGTGCCCGGAGCGCTAGGTACGGTTAGTGGCAGCATCCCGGAGCCACCAGGAGGGCCGACTCCGAAACCAACGACCGCCGGCATTTGCGCGGATGATGTGCCAACGGCCGTCGGCGGTTTCGTTAACAATGGCCCCAGGTTCCGGAGCGCCGTCGCCGGCCCAATCGGTATGCCTTGGCCATTGCCATTACCATTACCGTTGTCGCTGCCGTTACTGCCCACATCTGGGGTCAGCAGCGCGCTACTGTTTTCACTGTACCAGGCAAAGCTCGGCGGCTTCCCGCCCATAGCCACAGCCGCCTGTCCAAGAGGGGCAGTAGCAAGACCGTTGCCGCTAAACCCATCGCGAGGGGCTAATGGCGGGTGTGGTCGCAGCGCTGGCATCCCAGGGTTAAAGCCGCTGCCGCCGCGGAGCAGGCGGCTGGGGGGAAACGACAGCTGTGACAGCGCTGCAGGAGGACTTCGCAGTACGATCTGCACGACATCGGGCTCCTGGGCGATCTGGCGGAGCATCCCGTTGATTTCCTTGTCGAGTACGGACAGATGGTTCATCAACGGCTGCGGCGTGTCCGTCGCTGGTGCCGCGGGGAGACAAGCAGCAGACTGGGAAACCGTCCGTCGCAATGGCAGCTGCTGCCGCCGCGTCGCTACTGCCGCCGCCGCCGCCGCCGCCACCCCGTCAATGCAAAACTCCGATGTTATTGTGCGCCGTATTGGCTGCAGCGGCGGCGGTGTCGCCGCTGCCGCCGTCACTACCCTTGCCCCGGGGCTCAATCGTGGGCGCCGAGGCCCCCCTGATGACTCATGCCCCGCCGCCGCCGGTGCATCAGCAGAAGCCGGCGGCGGCGGCGCGGATGCTGACGTCATCTCAGTGAGCATATTACCGCTGCAGTGCGCTCCGAGCGGTGCTGATGTGCACACAGCCTGTCATAAAGACCAACGGTTTGTGAGGGCGGGTTTTGTTAAGGTATCAGTATTAGGTTTTAGTTTAAGGTTTTAAGGTTTTAGGGTTTTATGACAATATCCTTTGTACGCCACTGGGGGGGTGTTGGGTCGGACACTTAGCACACCATGCAAGTGAGAGCCAAATGAACCCATGTACTCCACCACCGACATTGCCGACATTACCACGAACGCTACTACGGTCATTGGTGTCGCCGATGCGCAGCAGCATCGGTATGCCTGTATCGTACCTGCCGTACAGCTACAGACGGCACGCCGGTGCCGGCGTTGGCGCCGCCGCAGTCGCCAAGGACGGCGACCCCACTAATCTGCTGGACGAGCGCAGTGGTCACAGAGCCCCGCAAACCATCCTCGCTACCAGGAATGCCGCTCCCGCTGCTCTGGCTGGAACCGCCTCCATCGCTACCCTGCCTGCCGCCGCCAGCAGCTGCCGCCGCCGATGCCGCCGCCGCCGCCGCCGCATGGACACCGCCATCGTAGCCGCCATCACCGCCGCCGCTAGCTCCCAGCGCCTCCGTGGCGCGTGACCCATCCACCCCACGCTTGCTTGCACGGCGCCGCGGCTTGAAGCTCGTCTTCCTGCGGCCATCGCCGCCTCCGCCTCCGCCTATGTCCTTGTCGTCGACATCATTGCCGCCTTCGTCACCGTCGACGTCGACGTCGACGTCCATGTCGTCGTCAACCTCGGCGTCGTCGTCGTCGTCGTCGTCAACCTCGGTGGTGGTATCGATGGTGACGTCTAGCAGGCATCGTCTGGAGCTGCGTGCTGACCTCCGTCGTACTGCGCTGCGCGATTGCCACGACGCCAGCTGATGATGCCGAGACTGGACCTCTTCCACAGTGTCCGCGGTGGTGGTATCTGCCAGCATGTTGTGGAGCTGTGGGCCAGTGACATTAGCCGCGGCGGTAGTGGCGGTGGTGGCGGCTATCCGGGCGCCGGCAGCGGCGACAGCAGCGCCGCCGCCGCCGCCGTCACCCATGGCGGATGCAATCATCAAGATCTCTCGTTGCTTCTGCTTCTGCTTCGCCAGCCGCTCCTTCAGAAGCTTGATCCTTCGACGTTCGCTGTGCTTTGCCAGCTGGACTCGACAAGACCTGAAGCCGTACACCAGTACGGCATTACAAATGCATCTTAATGGCGTCGCACATCCCTCTTCATCACCATCTTCATCACCGTCATATTATATTGCATCACGTGCATGCATCATCACGTACGGCATCATTACGTTTGTTCTGTGTACTGACTTAAGCAGTGTTAAGTCTACTGGCAAGCAGGTCACACCCCAGCAAATAATCTCAAACAAACACCGACCAGCGCTACGGATCCCCTCTCCTCTCTCCTTTCTGAGAGGAAAGAGCTGCCCGAGGGGAGACTTAGGGAGGAGAGGGGGTGAAGGAACTACTTCATCGGATCAGCTAAAGCGGGGGGATCTGCTAGCCTGGCGCGAAACCGGTAACGTACTACCTACTTCTTTTTTCCGTCGAAGTCCTCGATGGGTTGAAACTTGGCGCACTGGGTTGTGTGTGTGTGGGGGGGGGACGGCCGGGCGGGTGGGTGGATTCAGGAGGGGGTCGAGGAAGAGGAAGGACAGGAAAAAAATTAGATTGGGGGAAAAGTGAGGTGAGGGTGGGATCGTGGTGAAGATGAGGGGGACAGAAGGCATAGGGTGCATGGGTGACTACCCAGAGGGGTCCAGAGGGTCTAGGGAGGGGACTTGGGGCGGCGCAGGTGGCGCAAGAGGGACGCAGGTAGGGCGAGCGGACGAGCGACGAAGAGAAGCCCTCTACGCGCGTGGAGCGGTAGCTCAGTGGGGGCGCACGCTGCTGCATGTGTGGCTATTTTGTACGGCAAAAACAAATGTTTTGCAGGAAGATTCCATCAATGTTTCCTTTGGAAATTTGGCAAATTCAAGTTTTCTGATACTTTTTTTGTGTTATAATCTACGCTAAAGGTTCGCCTGTGAGTCATTTAACGAGTACGATGAGCGCGCGTGAAACGGCAAAGGCAATGCAATCCAAGTTTCAAGTTCGTCCCGGAATGTAGCCTAGATAATCTGCAATTTTTGTCCATGAACACGGCAAACTTGCTGTCGACATCCCGGAAACAACGCTAAGCAATGACTGTATCAAGGCTGCCGCTGAGCCGACCCTCCAATTTTCGACGAAATCGTGTGCCCGCAGCCAGCCAATTTTCGGCCAAGCAGAGATTCCCTTTCCCTTTCACGAAAATGTTTTGCCGCACCCATTGCGCGGTCGTTGCAAATTAGTAATAGGCACCTAAATGGTAAGGATTTTAATACAGTACAGACGTACATACCATATCCAAGTGTCTAAACGTGCACACAGAAAAGTTGCGCTTGTGCAGTAATCATGGAGCAAAGCAGGACGGCACGCGGGTTGCTGCGGCACCGCAATGAATGACGATGGCAGTGATGCCGTACAACAGTACAGATCAATACCACAGGTTTATCGCTTGAATAGGCTATAGTCTATAGCCTATTCATGAACCTCCGGCAGAGAGAATGAATTACGTCATTACGAAACTCGTGTATGTATCTTTATCCCCCCAACGAATGGATCATTGGTATTGACCGGTTAGGCTGCAAAACGACATCATCCTGCAGGGGCGTGTCATTGCACGTACGTGCCGGCGGACTTTAATGATGACATTTTGTCCCGAGGGAAAATATTAGACGCAGACGCATATTAAAGCTCAGGGTTGGTCATGGCAAGCAGCCGTAGTGCCGTAGCTTGCGCTGATGGGGAGCGCATATGCGAGTCGTGGACATGTTCTGTAATGATTTTGGGATGCGCCCAAATGTGTCGAAATGTGAACGCCTCGTTTTTGCAAGCGACAGCGATACTAGAAGTGCTGTCCAAGCATCGTGTGATGAGCTCAGGCTGGCTGGAGAGTGCGCGATATCTGGGTTTAGTGTATGGGTGGGTTTGCCGCCAGCAGTTGTACGACACAGCTAGGGCAGCTGTGTTCACGCTGAGTACGACATTGGATAAGCTAACGTTGTTCGCCCCAGATGTGAGGATGAGGTGTATTGATACGCAGGTACGAGTATTGATACGCAGATACTGTTGAACGGTTGTCAAGTGTGGGGCCCGCTTATGTTGGCTAAAGTCTTGGACAGGCTCAGGAGGCGGAGTGACGCGAGTAACCTTGCGGAGGGGCCCTTCGAGGCATGTCTGAAGGATTGAGCGGTGCAGCTCCAGGTATCGTTCATGCGGCAAATTTTGGGAGCTGCCAGACCAGCGCACCGCCTCCTGTTCGCTGATCTGTCACGGCTACCTCTCGTACGGCACTTCCACGTGTTCAAGCAGATTGTGAGGTTTTGGAACCGTTTCCAACAACCGTTTCCAACAACCGTGTCTCTCCAACCCTGAAGGGGGCGTATGGGAGTCACTAGTCCTCCGTTTTATGAGTTTATGGGGAACGACGTATGTCTTGCTGGACTGTCCGGTGCACGGCGAAATCAGTTCTGATATAGATTTCCCAAAATGCTTTGAGTACACGAAGGACGCTATAAAGTTGGAACCTGAACGTTTGGCGAAGATGCTGCAAAGTATATGTTCCCACCGCAGCTCTATCATTCCCTTTGGTCGTTAGTCTCTCCTTTATCACATGCTTTGTCTGAAGTGCGAGGTAGGATGGTGCTTTTAGGCGATCTGGCAGCCCTTGAGCCCTCGGCACGTATTGGGTTCACACACACACACACATACACACACATACACACACACACATACACACACACACACATACACACACACACACACAGACAGAGAGAGAGAGAGACATGCAGATGTGCATCAGTGAGCACAACCAAGCCAAAAAGGTCCTAATGTTATCTGTCCGATACTTCCGGCCCAACAGGATATTCTTCAGCTGTGTCAAGCTGCTAGGGTAAATTTGGTGGCGTACACGTGTGCGTGCATTGCGACTGCTGGCACCCAGTGGTACCTTCCCTAGGGTTAGAAACGTCGTGGTGCTGCTGCATGCGAATGTCGTGGCTCACGTTGCAGCAACACCTTATCCTATTTTATCCTATAAACCTCGCAAAGCTCGTGTTCTGCTTAGCTTTTCCTGATCCACATTCGTCCGTTGACCGTACTCTGTGTTTCTGGAGATCTTTCAGCTTCTTCGGCTACATTTAGCTGCACGACTGAAAGCGCAGTCGTCGTCGTCGTCGTCGTCGTCTTCATCACCATCATAATTACCAAGACGATGGCGATGGGACCATAAATTTAAGAATTGAAATCTATTTGTTGTGCCCGCCATCTGTCGTCCGTGTCAGACAGAGCTGCACACTTGCGCTTCCAAAGGGACACGGGGCCCCAGAAAAAACATCAAGGTAGAAAACTTGCGGACGGCATCGCAATCGATACTATGCTTGGGAGCATTGTTGTAGAATTGTTTTACTGAATCATTACCTGCTGGCAAAATCGTTGAAGCTTGCCATCGACGCGAAGACCGATAGCGTTAAGATGTTCCCCACAAAAACTATACCGACGATAATATGACTTCTCAAAATCCATTAAACGTGTACATCCGTCCACCTGTCGCAGTTAGGGAGAGAAAAGAAAGACTCAAGGTCGGCAGCTCAGGACTCCATGGCTCGCACAAAGTTAAGCTTAGCAAAATTTCGCATTGCATAAGTATAGAATGCAGTCAAGCTGATCAACTCGTGCTTGGTGCAAGTTACAAGGCAGCGTGCCGTGAGCCGAGGGCGTCCTGCCTGTATGACGCCCTATCATTTCCGTTCCAATGCGGCCCCTTTCCACATCCCATTGCATCAGCGTAAGGTCAGGAAAATTGCCGACAAGTTTCCGTCGTAGCTGGATGCATGGCAGAGGATAACAAACACGGGATCGGTGTACGTGGTGCAACAAACAGAAGCCAGCAGCAGCGAGGTTCTAACGGGGCGTGAGCGTCCAGGCGCATCGCGTGCCCGCACATACAGAATATAAGACGCAAATAGCTACCTCATACCTTGCATTTCCTTGCGGTAGAACTCTGCGGGGTTACACCACTACCCTGCTGTTGGCCTGAGACTTTGCCATCTGCCGCGTCGTGGCGGCGGCCTGCCTGGATGTCCTGTTCCTTGGTCTCCACGGGATCCATATGCATGGGTATCTCCCGTGGCGCAAGGCCAGGCTCGGCCATGCTTGAGTGAACAAAGCTTCAGCAGAGCGCCGAGCTGCTGCCGATTGTTGCAAGGGCGAGCGATTCACGATTCAAGACGGATTAGATTCAAGATGGCAATCGTAAATGAATAAAGAATCATAAATATAGACCTTACCTTTTTGTTCTTCAGACAGTCCTCCGAGTGCCAATAACGAATCTGTTGCTCCGCACGCAATGCTGTGAGACTTTGTCTCAATCAACTGTAATCATCATGAAGCTCGAAGAAAGCTGCATAATTCTAGGCCAAATTTTGGGGACATGCGAGCTATTACTGCAAAGATAATGATTACGACCAAAGCCAGCAGGGCCAGCAGAGTTAGGCTAGGAAGAGGTTTACCAGGAAACAGTTGATGAATGCGTGCTCTAAGGATACTTAATCAAACGACACTCCAGAAACATGCAATCAGGGGTATGTTCGGAAAACGTCCGTGAGGTTTCACCTTTGTGCAGAAGGATAAGAACCTGTTACCGTAAAAAGAAAAAGCAGCCAGAGATTTACTTTTTTTAGAAATGGATTAACAATACATTGATTTGTTTTCATCAGGCGCAATGGAGTCGTGACATATACGGTCGTATACGGACGGCTCGTGTGTTGTACCATAATTGACATCCATAGCAATACATTAATCTTGTATGACTGAAGGCGCGTACACGCAAAAATAGGAGGGATTCCTCAGCAAAGCAATATAAACAATACTTTTAAGGCATGCGTGTCATCTGTTCCGGCTCTGCGCCGCCAAAATGGCCGTTTCAGCGTTTCATAACGAACTTTTCCGAAGGGACATATCGCGTCTTCACACTTTACCGTTTGTGGATGACTTCTTCTTGCCTAAACCAACGTCTTGCCCCTAGGTCGCATTGGGGAACCCGTGCATGAGCGGTATAAGCCATATCGATTTCCTGGCATACAATAACTCCATCGACTATGTATTAGTTGAAGCTCAATTCGACCTATTAGGCGCATAAAATTGGCAGAAAGAAGGGCCCCGCCGCGGAGGCCCGTCCGTTATAGCCAGTTCACATGCTACGTTACGTTAAGACTTTTTGGGAAAAGTGGTCGGTTCGGACATGGTAACGGTACGTTACCGGTAAAGTGGACGAAAAGTCTAAAGTGACCGAGGGGGGGGGGTTGAATTTCGTCAAACGCTGACCCCTCGTACCGTTACCTGAATTGCATCGCCAATTTCGCGAGTTATAACAAATGGCCAAGCACAATCGCTTATAAAGACCACATATTTGACAAATTGTGCGCACTTTGCACTCCGACCGAATTTCTAGTCACACCGCTGCAGTTTATTTTGGAAAATGAACAAGGACAACGCCACTCGTGTTGCTCGACCGCTCATGACCGCTTACATAGCCAATATGTAACCCATTGTAGTATCAGGGCTGAAGCCACCCGCGAAACGGCAAGTCGGCCGCACTTCCGGCGGCATGGGCCGCGCCGCGCCGGCCCACACGCTCAAACTCTGCCACTGAGCATCGAACATGTCTTCAAGGTTATCAAAAATTTCATCCATCGCGACCGCTAGGGCAAACGCCATCGCGGCTCGCGCGGGATGCAGTGCCATTGCACTAGGCAGGGCTGCCAATAACCCTTCAATTATATATTGCGATTCTAAGGGGATGTGCTGAAGTTTTGGCCATTGAAAGACATAAAATGGAGATGGTTTACACAGCTCGCGCCAACGAACACAACGTCGTCGTAATGTCCCATGTGAACTGGGTGACTTTCTCAGGCCCACTTTTCCCAAAAAGTTTTCGCAACGTAACGTAGCATGTGAATCCAGTATTACTAACGTCGATACACGTACACATTTTTCTTGATGTGTAATTTAAAAAAGCAACCCTTTGTTTATTCGGTTAGTAATTGCGAGAAATAGCGCCAAATGATGAAATATGTACGCAAGCGGAGGCATTCTGAGTTGATTGCGTCGATACATTCCGCCCTGCTGCCCTGCCGCCGGCGGCCGCACTGTTTCATTTTTTCGCTCCCACGCGGTGCTCACAAGGCAAGCACATAACAAGGGAGGCCGCAGGGCCCGCCCGCAGCCTTGAGGTGTGTGGATGAGCCCGGGTGTGTGGATGAGCCCGGGTGTGTGGATGAGCCCGGGTGTGTGGATGAGCCCGGGTGTGTGGATGAGCCCGGGTGTGTGGATGAGCCCGGGTGTGTGGATGAGCCCGGGTGTGTGGATGAGCCCGGGGACTCGATGCCAGCAGCACGTCGTAGCACGTCCTTTTCAAGTAATCATCGTGGTGCTGGTAGCAGCTTTGGATTATTCAGGTAAGAAAGACGGCTTTCAAGGCACTTACTCGCAAGATACGATGGCCGGAATGGGGTGACGAGGTGGCGACAAGGTTAAACATAATTTGAACACAGTTGGTCAGCCACAAAGGGTCTTTCAGGATCGCCCCACCGGGCTTCGGCTAGAATAAGACATTTTTGTGATGAACCTTGCGAAGCTCGGGGCCAGAGACGCGCGCCCACAGCTGTTGCAGGGGAGTTTAGGTTATGGGGCCTGGCCACGCGCTGCCAGTCCGTATGATGCTCGAAACAAAGCAGTTAATGTAAATATATATTTCATCAATAATTAGCGACTGACTTGCTGGTTAAGCCTCTGTACGCGAATCCTCCGTAACTACGGAAAACAAAGCGAAAGCTATCGCGACTTCCATGCCAACGATTGCCTCATGTTCACGTCGTAAGTTATTCAGCTTAATCTTTCATTAAGTATGCGAGGTCCTTGTATGGATTGGACGTCAACGACGAAGGTTAGTAAATTTTTTGTTTCTTCGCGACGTGACCTGCGAGCATATAAGTGCATCAATGGCACAGAGTTTGGCATAGCACAAGTGAGCATAATAGCGAGCCTCACGCGCCAAGCCGGGTGGCCATGGCCAAAACGGAGAGACGTACGCAAGCGCTGCCAAATATTTGATCCACGTAAATGCATTTTTGTCGAGGTGCAAATAAAACTTAGGAATGGGGCACATCAGTGCGCCCTTGGTAATCAAAACAACAAAAGGGACAGCAGGGAAGGACGCATCCCCGCCGCGGGGACTGCAACTTGCAAGTTGCAGTAGTAAATTCATTGAAAAGCTAATGAATTTAATTTTACTTCATTACGTGTGATCGAGAATTTAACGGTATCGCGGGTGCCCGTTGTACCTATGGGACCAAGCACGGGACTCATGATGCTCTGACAGACGTTAATTCTGGACAAAAACAAAAAGGCGGGCGCAGAGCGACAGGCAAAGCAAGCTTTTCCGACTTTACGTGCGCCAGAAAGGCAGAGCATTAATGCAGTAGTGCATTAGCACGTTGTCGTGCAGCGCTGGCTCGACCGATGGACCCGTTGTCACCCATTTTATGTTGAAGCCATTAAGCCAGGCCAGGCCAGCAGGCCAGGATGAAGGCGACTTCTGAAATGAAAATACTATCCATATTTTCAGTTGCTTGGGAGGAACAAACAGGTTGTCCTCAGCTTTCGAAAATTATGCTAGCTGTCACGCAACATTGAAAGTAATACAGCGAAGAACGAAGGCAAAAAATGGAGAATACGATATAGGACAACTACAGGACGTGACGAACGACGAAGCAAATATCGGTTGTAATCGGGCCTGTAATTACAGAATATAGCTAGCATCCCCAAAAATACGGCAGATCCCCGACATAAATCTGGAATATTAGGTTTACGGATCGCTACCAAGCTGCTACGGAGATGAGGTCTAGTTGATGGACTTCTTAAGTTTTACATGCTGGATTGGCGGTGATGGCTGGCCTATCCACCCAAGGATGCTCGGGTGATTGGATGAGGAGGAGTCGAGGTAGCAGGACCCAAACCGCCTTCCATCACATGGCGAAATTAACTTTCAAGATATATACAGTCCATGGCCCCCGCCCGGGCTTTGACGGACACCCCGCATTCTTGCGGAACTTGTAACCTATAGCTAGCGTTGGCGGGATCGCATGCCACCCACCGCAAATATGGGGGTATCATATCTGTACGAAGAAGCGATGTGGCCTACACCGCTTCTTCTTGGTATTTCTTTGCTGTCAATTCACAATTGGTTTTTGAAGGTATATCATTTATCAATTAGGTATATTTATCGTTGTTATTATATTATTATCACTATTACATTACGCCGGCCGTAAGCCTGTGTGTTTTATTCCCCCTATCCGCTCCACTGCCCAAAGAGCACAGCGGGAATATGCATATGCCTGTGTGGGTTAATGTCTCCCTACGGAAACACCGCACACGGGGGAACTGATACACAACCTGGGAAAACCTTCCAACCATCACTGCCCTACTTGAGTATGTAGGATATCCAACCACTAGCCAGGCCAGAAGTTACGCCTGCCGTCTTCATCTACCAAGCCTGCACAGGACGACCTAGTCCTGTGCTAGGTCAATTCCCCCTCTCCCTCCCCCCCCCGTCCTCCCCCTACCTCCTCTTCCCCCTCCCCCTACCTCCTCTTCCCCCTCCCCCTACCTCCTCTTCTCCCTACCTCCCTTTCCCCCACCTCCTCCTCCCCCACCTCCCTACCATCAACTCCCCTATACCCCCACATCCTCCTCCACGCCGCCTTGGGACCTTGAGGCGAAGCCGCACACCCTGAACAGCAATACAGCCCACCCCGAAGCTTGAGAGTCTTTGTGCCCCTTGTGGTGTGTGCCTAGAAGTGTAAAGGTTTGTCGGTCTCCATGGGGCCCCCCCGCGGCTTTTACGGAGACCCCCGCACTTGGGGCAAACTTGTAACTTGTAACATTACATGCGAGCTTCCATTTCATGGACTCTAAAACACGCTCTGTTGATGATCGAATCTCTCTTCCAACACGAGTATCATTATAGGCTGGGCATTCCAATAACACGTCTTTTTCATCCTCGACGTGGCTATTGGTGCCACAACAGCGGCAAAACCGCTGCTCCCTGGGGACATGGTACTTGCCCCTTCGTGCTCTGTTTGCCTCCAAAGCCCAGCAACATAAACGAGACTGCATTAGCTTACGATGTGCTAAACGAGGAAGAAAACTTTGGCATGTGTTGGCCACATGACGGCTGCGGCCCCCGAAAAGAGCAGCCCCGCCCAGTGCTTACACTTTGCCATCTGTACACCGGTTGGATGTGGAGCAGGGTTCGACACTGACCTTCCTGAAACTTGCGGGCTCCCCCGTACCTCCCAAATTTTCCTTACGGAGGGGCCCCCGTACCAGGCTCCTGTACCGGCCGAAAACCTTACGGGGGCCCCCGTAACCCCCGCAAAACCTTTACGGGGGCACTGTCCTTGGCTGAAACGCTGTGGAAAGTGACGCTTTTTTTTGCCCTGTAAATCGTTTTTTCGTTGTTTTTTCGTGAACCATTACACTCGGGGACACGGCACACTCAGTGAAAGCCAAGCGCCTTGGCCGCCGCGGCCGCCCATCCCTTCTGCTCCTCTTTCTCGTCCTCCTCATCCTCGTCCTCCTCGTCCTCCTCCTCATCCACGCACGACTCATCGGTATCTCGTTCTACGTCGGTCTCGTAGTTACTGTCACTAAAAGCCTCATCGTCACTAGCGGGGTATGTTGCTTGTACCAGTACTTCAATCTCTGGGTCAGTCGCAACCTCCTCATTATCATCCTCTCCGTATGGCTTCAAATTAATTTTAAGGTGGCGCGCTTCTTGGAGGGCAGTGGCTTATGAGGCCCTTGGTCACCTCCTGACGACTCCTTGTCTGCCATCGCTGGATGTTACAGACCAGAAGTTATAAAAGTATTATGAAAAGTGTAGTTAAATATTGCAATTTGAATTATGTCTGCCAAGTGTGTGGCCTTATCCTTTATATGGTCCGTCCTCTCCCCTACGGGCCCGTACGGCCTCTTATAAATCCTTAAAATCCTTACGGGGGCCACCGTAACCGGCCTTCGGCCGGTCCGGGGCCGGTCCCGTACGGGGCGCTTCGCGCCCCAAAATCCTTACGGGGGCCACCGCAAAGTCCTACGGGCCCTGACGGGGATACCGAAAAAAGGCCAAAAACTTACGGGCCCCGTACGGGGTGTCGAACCCTGTGGAGGCCATTGTGGAGGCCATGAAATGGAAGCCAGCACGTCTTGCGAGGATGTTGGAGCATGTATGGGCTCACCGCAACTCAGTTATCCCCTTTGGGCGCTAGTCTGGGCTGATACTGCGGGGTTTCCTTTTCTTCGTGGCTTTTAGGCGTTTAGGTATTGCTCTTGGGCCTTCGGCTCGTATGGGTAGTTTTACAGCTATCGTGTCACGCAACCCCAACCATGTAAACACACATACACACATACACACACATACACACACATACACATGAGCTTCCAAGCGCAGGTAGAGCCCCGCCGTGGCCCTCAGCCCGAAAAACCGCAATGTGGCAACGTACAGCTGCACGCACGTGTACGACAATCCTGGGTCCACCAAGAAGCTTCCTTATCTTCCCGAACCTTGCGGGATCACACCCGCGCCCCCTCCCCAAAGCTTCCCCGAGTACGATCGAGCATGCCTACATAAGTTCCTCAACCACTGCTGAGCTATCCTTCAAGCCCACTACCCAGATCGTAAACAGCGGATGCTATTCGTCGCATCCCTCCTCCAAGGACGCTGCTATGTGGCAGTGAGATAAAGATCTCTGCTACGAGATTCAAAAGTAATCCTGCCAATCAGAATCATAGTCAAGCTCGCGACATGCAATCGTGCAATTCTTAAGAGTACTAGGTTTGATTTTTGTTAAGGAATTCGGCATAGGTCTGGTGTAGTTGTTGAGACGTGGAGGTTATCGTATCTATTGAAGCATAATCTCAGCTGATGGCGATTTCTAACTCCTCGATCTACATGGATGTCCGGTTGTCTGAATTTGGAGGGTTAGACATAATATGATCCAAAGCCGCTTTGGACATCGTTCCGCGGAATTGACTTTCGTTGCATAGAGGGTCTTTCCATTGGCCAGCGGCTGGGAAAGTTCCTTAAGTTCTATAGAGAACTTAAGAAATTTCCTTAATTTCACTTGCCATTGGGCCCACTTTACACAACTTTTTCCTGGGGAGACCCCCTGGGGAGACCCCCGAATTAGTCGGGAGCGCGAGATTATGGCTAGCTGCTGAGATGTGGAGTTGAGGTCGCAGTTGATGGACCAGATTCGCACGCTAGATTGGTGGCGATTGCCGAACCCTCCGTCTCTTCGGTTGTTCGGGTGAATGGATGAGGAGGGGTCCTAGATGGCTGGACCCGCCGCCTTGGACTTACAGTTCGTATGGCGAAGTATAGTGTGGTAGTGGTGGACGGTGCTATAAGATGATAAATCGTAGAACTGACAATGTGATAAAGCGGCCCAGAAGCCTCCCACTCTGTAACATTACATTACATTACATTACATTACAACTTTTATCAGACGTACGGATTGTAAGAAATTGCTCACTTTTAAGCTACGTTAGCCCTCGAGCACATTACTACTATTGCCCAGCACGTTTTCGCTCGCATTCCTTGACTCCCCTAGACAATGTCCCCATGGGCACCGTCGGCAAGCGCGCAGAGTTGTGCTGGGACGCGACCTGGTTAAGGCCTCCATACGACATTTGCGAATGATGTAACTCGTGATGATATTCCGGGAAAGCGGGGTGGTGACCCGACTCGAGATTGACAAGGCCACGCTGCACTTGAAGCTATCTCAAGCGAGCCTCGTCATTCATATGAGTTCCAAGGTACTCAGCAGGAGTTCCTTGGAAGGACATTGACGAGGAAATAGCACTCGCCGATTTTGCGTAGCAGGCGTCTGTCGCTTCCGAGCGCCGCGACTGCACTGGTCAACGCACCAAATATTGGCTA